CTTTGTTTTTCTCAACGATTATCACAAATTAGTAACAAAAGGTTTTAATTCACAGCTTTAAGATCAAAATGCCTACAAATTTTGAAAGATTCATGCCCTATTTGGCATGAAATTTCAGAAAAGGCGGAAACCCTAAACACCGAATTTTTCGTGATCCAAAAACAACCAATTTTTCCACCATTTAATCCTTGAAAAAGCTGAATAAAGCTGTTTACAGCCTGCAAATCAGATCACATGCCAAAAAAAACAAGAAAAATGATAAAAAAATGACAAATTTTAAAGAATCGGTGAAGAACACTGTGCAACCCGTGTTCTTCACGGACTCGCCGATTCCGCACAGTGAATCGGCGAGTCACTGTGCGGAATCGTCCGGTTCTCTCTAGAACCGGACGATTTCCGATTTTTAAACCGATCCGGTCTCTTTTCTCGAATTCCGAGTCGAACCGGGCGAGTCCGGTTCGACTCGGCGTTTTTTAAAACGCTGAATTAATCTAATCTCTCAACTTCATTTAAGGGAATCCTGTTCGGATGCGGCCATGATAACGCTGAGAAAGTTCCGAGCTTGGTGGTTGGCTCGCTCAATAGGGCTCGGCAGCCCTCATTAATCAATAGAAAAAGTTTATATAAGGTTGCAACCTTATAATGTAGAGCTATGGATGCACCTCAAAAATCCATCAGACAAAAGTCCATTGATCATCTCGACACCAGATGTATGACTTTGAAAAATAAAAAGATTTTAAGTCTCACAAATAGTACATTTTACAACATATTATCTACACAGTCCATTTTCAAGATTTTCATATGTTTATAGGTCTATTTGATTTTAACTATTTTTGAAATTTAAAATTTTATAATTAGATATAAAAATAAATTTTGAAATAATCCTAAGAACATTTTACATCAAATTTATGTACTATAATAAAATTTGCAGGTGCACCTTACCTCTACAGCTACGGATGCATCCGTGTGCCAACTGCACTCTTAATCAATTATGTTGCAGGATTGGGAATAAATTTTCTTACTGCCTTCCTCGAAATGGATCCGGCCTGATAACTTTAGGAACACTCCCAAAAAATCATAGTGCTGACATTAAGACGACTCCCCTTATCAATTGGCCATACTACATGGTGAATTTGAAAAAGATTACTGCTGGGTCTGAGTTCATTGACATCCCACCGGTCCCCCTCTATCAGGAAAAGATGCTCATCGATACCGATAGCATTCTTACTTTCCTGGTCGAACTCGGTTACTTGTGCGTGGAAGTTCTGAACCCGGTTACTTGTGTGTGGAAGTTTTAAACCCGATGGGTTGATTTTTGTTAAATAAATTACGAGAAATAAAAAAAGAAACACACACCACAACAAACAAAGATTTTTGTGGTTCACCCACCACAACAAACAAAGATTTATGTGGTTCGCCGATGAGGGCTACATTCACGGGCACGACAAACTGAAATCCACTATACCAATGAAAGTTACACCAAAGATTTTTAACAAACCTTGACAAATAACCAAGTTATGCACACCTTTATAAACCACTCTCCCTTCCTACACAAACCACTCTCCCTTCATACACGTGAGGAACGAGAAATTGACTTTCCCTCCAAATAAAAGGGGAACAACCCAAAATCTTTATGGAAATTGTTTCTCTATAAGAAACAAACCTCTCAAATCTCTATGGAACCGTTTATCTACCTCTCAATCTCCAAGAAGCTACAGGATGCCTAACCTTTCAATTTCCAAGAAACTACATGAGACACCATGTCAAGAGTCAACATGAAGCACTATCACAATATTTCACATGAGAAGCTATCTCAACTTTCTCTCCATCACAATGTTTCTCTCCATAAGAAGCTATCTCAACTTTCATCCCATATATAAAAAGTTAGGAAGCTACACAAAAATAAACTATTCTATATATATATATATATATATATATATATATATATATATATAAATAAAACCAAAGAGATATATCAAAAAATTCTAAGTTTATTGGATTTCTATCTCATTTACGAAATTTATCGATATCAATTTCAATCTCAATCCCACATAATATGATATTTGATTTTGGATAGCATCAAATCCAACAATGGTCACCCATGAATAGCAAGATTCTATGAGACTGCCTCATATAAGGGACCCTACAGGGAAACTTGACATTTGCTATGAAGTGAAAGGCCGGATGATCTTGCCAGAGTTCCAGATGTTACGTTCAACTTTTCTGGTAATGCGGACTGGAAAGTTGGTCTGGAGGATTTGTTTGTAGGGGTAGATGAAGGCGTGTTTTGTGTGACCATAGTGCCGAACATAGGCCAAGGTAATTTCAATGGTAACTTCAATATGATAGTGGAGTACGACTTGGAGAAGGACGTACTGTCATTTGCTTCCGGCAATTGCAGTAACAAATAGGTCTTTGGTCTCATATGTTCTGTTTCACCTTTATATTTTAGCTATGAGTATAATAAATAGCTCTCTCTCTCTCTCAATCTCTGAACTTTGTCTCTCTGTCTCTAAACTGTCAACCCGAAAACCGTTTAAGATAGGATTTCTGGCCACAAAAATGGGATTTCAGCAGCATATTCCGGCAAGAGGGAGGCCGCTAGGAGACCTATTTTTTGGGTTTTTGTCAATATCGATAAATTTTGAGAATTTTGAATGCTAAAGTTGTGAGGTTAGGGGTTTTCAAAGATGGATTCCATTGTTATATGCCACATTGCATTTTGCAGTCGATACTGTGGGGCTTCTCCAATGTATAATAGCACATAAAAAATCATCCAAACTCATAAGCGAAATGAAGTAAATGATGAGGTTCGTGGTTGGGTTTATTTTGACACATTAATTTTTTTTGTTTGAAATCTAACTTGAGGGTTTTTACATAGGGTGCGGTTTGTATAGAGCCAAAGTTCTAAATAATCAAAGTAAAGCGCTCCTTCAAAATAAAGCTCACCTTTATATAATGTCTCAAGAAGAAGAAGCTCACCTTTGTATAATGTCTCAAGAAGAAGACGAAGATGATGTCGAGGAAGAAGAAGAAGAGAAGAAACATGCTCACCTTCACAGTAAAGCTCACCCTTTATTTAATGTCGAGGAAGAAGAAGAAGAAGAGAAGAAGAAGGCTCACCTTCAAAGTAAAGCTCACCCTTTATTTAATGTCGAGGAAGAAGAAGAACGCCCACCTTCAAAGTAAAGTTCACTCTTTATTTAGTGTCGAGGAAGAAGAACAAGAAGAAGAAGAAGAAGAAGTGGAAGAAGAGGAGGGAGGAGGGCGGCTAGTGACTGTTCTCCTTGTAATCGGCGGGAGGCAAGCCGCTGTTCTCCTGGCAATCGGCGGGAGCAAAGGAAATGAGCTCTGTGTCAACGTCGTACTCCACCGCCTTGTCCACTTGTGCCCAACTACCGAACATCCCCAAACCATCAACGGGCGCCACAACCAGGCAATACTTATAAGGACTCGCCCATGGAAACATATTTTGAGGGTCGACCTTCCATGCCGCCCCACCGGAGAAGTAGAATGTAACAGACGGAAACCGGGCCATATCACTCTCATCAGTCACATTGTAACAAAGGGGGAGGTGGCCACTAACCTCTATAAAATTAGAGCCGATCGTATCACGCAGGCCTTGGAGCAATCTTGCATGTATGTCTGCCCGCAAATAAGTAAGAGGGGAGAAGGTGTCGATGACCATAAGCATTCGCTCGTCAGTTTGCTTAATAGTTCCACCAGGGGTAGGGGTAGAGGTGAGGATGGGAATGTTTCCGATGGTGATGCCCCAGAGCTCTAGGATGTACTGACTTGGGAAGTCCTGAGACCGAGGAATCGCTATTGTTTGAACAGCGCTTTGATTCATCTTCGGGTGCGGTCCAAAGACCAACGACCCGAGATACTGAGGTTGCGGAAGGCAGTAGGAGAACTTTGGGCCGACTGATAAACGTAATTGGCTAAAAAGTGACTCAGGACCTCTCCCAAGCCCGATCACCCCGGATGGGCCATCAAATGAAACATGGCTGTCGCGGCCACAACCAAAATATATTGGTCCAAATTGGGGCCGGTGATCGGTATCAGAGACCAAGGTGAAATTATCAGTACCAAAGTCACCATGCGAATACGAGCTATCGAAGTAGTATTGAGAATATGCGCATGTTCCTGAGCAATCGGCTGTAACCAACCTGCAAGTCGGTTCTGCACAATCGATTTTTCGGTAAGAGCTCGAGCCGGTGGGATCGAAGGACCGACCATCAATATAAGTGATGCAATTTACACATGGTGTACATTGGACCCAAGTGATATCCATTCCAGTATCCATTACCAATAAGAAATACCTGGGTGGGTTGCCGATATAAGTTTGCAGAGTGTTCATTCCTTTTGAAACCTGTATAGTCAGTTTCAAGGAAGTGGCTAAGGGCGAGAGATGGAATACGAAGAAGAAGATGAAGGCTTTTAGGTTTGCCATTCTACTGTACTGTGAAATCAAGGGGGATTTGAGGCTACTGAGCAACCAAGGGCATGTACTTAAATTTAACTACATCAAAGAACCATGGTTTTCATTTAACATAGGCCACTCAAATGGAAAATTACAAAAATAGGCTATATCTAAACATACACAATTGGGGGATTTTTTAGAAAATTTATTTGAGGGGTTACATGAGTATAATGAAATTCAAAAGGATTTTTCCAGTGGTAATTGTGATGATTTGAACACCTTACTTATTCTGTAAAGTGGGTTGAAGACTTATTGATGTTTAGCCAAAAATTAGGCCTGATTTCTTTGGTTTTAGATTTCGCGTTGATCTCTTCCCAACTGAATCTTTGGCTTTGCATTTCGCATTGATCACAAAGTTGGATATTTTTTGTAGGTTTTTTGGGCTATTGCATCTTCCCAATTGGATCTTTGGTTTTAGATTTCGCATTGATCTCTTCCCAACTGAATCTTTGGTTTTAGATTTCGCATTGATCACAAAGTTGCATATTTTTTTTTAGGTTTTTTGAGCCATTGCATCGGGTTTGAATTTGTGCTAGCTGGATAGAAGATCAGCAAAAATGGCAAGTTTTTTTTTAAAAAATGACCATATAGGACCTCTCCCACTCATGTATGTTGGACCTCAATGGATTACCATTAAATTTGGCACAGATCCCTAAAAAGGTTATCACATAGATATGAGACTTGAGTTTTTTTTAAAAATCTGTATCAAATTTAATTGTGATCTTTTGGGTCCTACACACATGGGTGGGGGATGGTCCTATAGGATCATTACTCTTTTTTTTTTTTTGCTTTCATGCTTTGTTTTTTTTGGCATCTTGATGCTCGGTAGAAGATTAACAAAAATAGCAAGTTTTTCTTTGATTTTTTATGCCTTATTTTTTTTGCATCTTGATGTTAAGTGGAGGATAGGAAAAAATGATAGTTTTTTTTTTTTTTTTTCATGCTTTCCTTTTTTGCATCTTGCTTGATAGAGGATCAGCAAAAATGGCAAGTTTTTTTTTGATTTTCTATGTTTTTTTTGTTTTTGCATCTTGATCCTCTATGGAAGATCAGCAAAAAGGACTAAGTTTTTTTTTTTATTTTATTTTCGTGCTTTCATTTTTTGCATTTTAATGTGGTATTTTCAAGAACTTTCTCCCCGTGAAAGAAGCTTCCTAAGGCATTAAGAAAAGGGGACTTTTTTTTTGGAGAAGTATGCATAAAAAAGGGTATCTTATCCGTATAAGATCCCTTATTTGAGGCAGCTTGGGTGACCATAAGGTAATCACGTTCGACCACGATAGTAAGTGTGCCGGTATTAATTTGTATCTTATCCTGATCGAGGGGACCCAATGGGATGTCCATGTACTTGGACCCGAGGCTGATGTTTTTCAAACCCATTGTCCATGTCCTTGGACCCGGGGCTGATGTTTTTCAAACCCAATGTCCATGTACTTGGACCCGAGGCTGATGTTTTTCAAGCCCGGTGTGTAAAATAATGTTATTAAATTCAGTTCGTTTCGGTTTTACCGAAATTTGGTGTTTTGGCAAAGGGTGCAGTTAGCATACGGATGCATCTTTAGCTGTAGAGGTACGGTGTACCTTCAAATTTTATCATAGTATATAATTTTGATGTAAAATGTTATTAAGATTATTTCAAAATCTTTTTTTATATCTAATTATAAAATTTTAAATTTTAAGAATGGTTAAAATCAAGTATTTCGATAAACATACGAAGGTTTTGAAAATGGACGGTGTAGATAATATGTTGTAAAATGTACTATTTTTTAGATTTAAATTTTTTTTTATTTTTCATGATCATATATCACGATGTCGAGATGATCAATCAAAGGCTTTTTCAACATTAAAACTACACTTTTCGAAGGATTTTTGACGGGCATCAATAGCTCTATATTATAAGGTTGCATCCTTATACAAAACTTTTTCCTTTGACAAATGATGCATATGATGTTGACATGTGTTTTTTTGAAAAGTAATAATTTAAGTCTTGACCATAATTAACTTTGTACGCATATGGAATGACAGACTGTTTACAACTATAGAACAAAATGGGTATGAGTTGACTTGAAACTCAGACAATATATTGAATAGCGGTTTGAAAATTTCGATAAGGTTTTTCCAAAAGGCCTACCAATATTAAGTCACCGGATGTTATATGTTATTTCAATATAACTCGATATTATATTTTGATGCTTTTTTATTATGTAACAACGTTATTTATTATTAGATTTATTATTTTTATTTTTAAAATTTTATAAAATTATATACATATTATTTAAAAAAAAAAAAACTTGAAATCTTCTTTCGAATTAACTGAAATACCGAATTGCTTCACTGTTTAAACAAATCATAATTAAACTCTGAAGTGAACCTGACAACATTGGTGTAAAATGACAACCTCATAAGGCAATGGGCATTTACGATCTTGTAGATGCTTTAAGAAAAGGGTGCGGTTTGTATAGAGCCAAAGGCTCTAAACAATTAAAGTAAAGTGTACCTTCAAATAGTATCTAGAAATGTGGTTTAAATACTGGAAATCTTTGTGATAGCCTTAAAATATATTATCATATTTAATTATAAAATTTAAAGCTTAAAAAATACTGTAGATCAAATATATGTATGAAAACTTGAAAATTATGAAAATCTCGAAAATTGATGATCCAAAAATGTGTTACAAGATGTACTGTTTTCAAATTTTGAAATCTATTTTTTCTCTCATGTTCATTCATCTTGATGTCGAGATGATAAATTTGAGAATACTTGAGCATCAAAATAGCCTCTTTTAGTGAAAATTTTGATAGGGGCTTTAATTTGATTGTTTAGAGCATCGACTCTATATAAACTTTTTTATTAAGAAAATCTCAAGATTTTTAGGGGAAGGACACGAGTAAAAATTTAAAAACCAATTGGACGCTAGGGACCATGTGTGTACGTTCCACCAATAGGTGTTACAATTGCTAGTAAAGATGGGCTTGATCAACTAAAAATTAATTTTAGGGTAAGTTTCCCGTTCAAAGTAGGCGATGGAATGATGCACAAGTACATGCAACCACTAGAAGATCAATTTGTTTTGAGTGATTTACGTACCAACGGTAAAGTACAAGATGCTCTTTATATAGGTGGAACTTACAAAATAAGTTCGATCAACTTATTTTTTTTTTTCAAAATTATCCATCCGTAAATGTAAATTTTGATTTTGATTTTTTTTTTTATAGTTTTCTTTTGTTAGTAGGGCGATGGTCCAAGCTTTAAGTGCATCCATCCGGATGGGTTTTTTAAGATTGTCAATGAAATAATTGCAACTATATAATTTCACATCCAATGGTAAAATGTTCAAGTGGTATTTTAATTATTTTTTTTGTTCAAATATTTTTTAACTACTTTTATTTAATACATCTTATAAGTGCATCCATAGCTCAAAATTTTAGATAAATATAAAAATCAACAAATAAAAATAAAATTATTCTGTCACTAGGTTTAATCTGGACCACTGAGGGACTTCTGTGAGCCCTACAAATGTTCACGTACCATACTTATTTAGGAAAAAGAAGACGCCCCAATTTATAAAATCTTACCCAAATAAACCTTGGGTCCGTGAGAAGCCAATCATTCCTTTCAAGTTAAAAGAATGTGACGTTTAACATCATCCCTTTTTTTTTTTTTTTTTGTTAGTTATCCAAATTATGGTATTTATCTTCTTTATGTGTTTTAGTGACTTAATCATCTAAACGAAATATAAGATATCACATTTACATATGGGATTGTATAGAATGATACCATTTACCTTTGATACAAGGTGGTCACAAATACTTACAACAAGAGGTTTAAAAAGAGGTTCGGTGACCCGGATCGGGCATCTAAAAAACCCATCCGGATCGACGAATCGGCTATCCGGATCGGAAATCGGCTGAATCGATCGGCTTAAATCTTAAAAAAAATCTGAAAAAATTATTAAAATTATTAAAATTCATTATAAATGTTGTTTTTTAGGAATTCAATAAGAAATGAGGGTACTCCATTATGAATTTTCATTTCTTTGCATGAATATGCAAATATTGATATGTTCTTTCCCTGCATGAACTACTATTTACCATTTAATTTACATCACACAAAAGGATAAACATAGAAGTATTATGGATTAAGTATATCATCATACATGGACAACAATAAATCATACAATTCGTAACATACGATCTAAAAATAAAATGACAGACGATGTCGTCCTTCATCTTGGTCACGCTAGTGCCATTGATTGAATGCGCGTGACAATTTATTGGCTCGTTCTAAAAACGAATCATGCAAATTAGTGGGCACCTGACTATACACAAATCCTTGAGTATTAGTATTTTGTTGTGGTCCTAATCCAAAATCCTCGAAGCTTGTTTATCCTTCATGCTCACCTACACTATCGTGACCATCCCTACCCTCTTGTTGTTGGGACTCGATATATGAATAATTTGGCTGAAATTGGGTGGCCTCAAAATCATCATCTCTCTCATTTTCTCTTAGACCCCCTTCCCACTCTCCCTCATTAGGTGCAATGTCACATCTCCGACGAATTGTGGATATGTTGGCGGGCTGCTTCATCTTTCATGCTGCTCATCACCTTATTCAAGATCTTCCTCACCGATAGCCTCAAGGAACGCTCTCTTGTATAACACTGGCTCCTCTTCTTCTACTACACATTGTTCTGCTGTATATGTGACAAATATTGTGTCCAAGTCTATCGGCTCATAGTCTTCAAGCTTCATTCTTATTTGTCACTCTCGGAGATTTAAGTTGTAATGAACGTAGACTAGTTTATGAAGCTCCTTCAAAGCGAGTCGATTCCTCCTAGTAGTGTGCAACTATTAGAACGTACTCCAGTTTCGCTCACAGCCAGTAGCAGAACATGTCTAGGAGAGCACCTTGATTGCTATTCTCTTTAGGTGCAGTGCATCAGTTCCATATATCTCCCACCATTCAGCTGG